AAGACTCTAATCATCGTTGAGTTCATATTTTCATTTAGTTTTAATGACTTCCTATACTTTCATCACACAATACAATGCATCTTAGGAACCCTTTCATTGTTATTTATTACGTAACGTAACTTGTTTAGTTCTTGTTTGAAAAATAATAAAAACCAGTTAATTCCCATAAATATCTCTGAATTCTAAGAGCTCTTACTAAACCTTTTCTGTTGTCTCATCATTAAAAACCACATTTTGATTTGTTTTTTCAGTTTAGATCGTTTAAATCAGAATTGCATGTCAGAGATCAAATTCAATAAATATGCGTAAGACGGACGCCGCAAAATATTGTCTAATTGTCAGGTAGATTTCCAGCTAATGTATAGGAGAGATATATATAAGATTATCAGTGACTTGCGCAGCTGCATGCACCCACCCACGATCTGAGCTCATGACAACGCCCAGAAATGATGCAACTTTGAAGGTTGTCTCTGCGCCATCCCTTTTACTGCGAGTATAATCAACGAACGGGGTGCCGAAAGTTCCTTGAACTTGCAAGATTTTAGTTCATTACGTTCGACTCTTAATTGCATTCGCAATTTCAGGGAAACAAATCAATTCCACTGCAATTGTCTTTGGCTCCTCCTGTAATTTAAGCTAATGATTTTGACCCAGCCACCAAAAGGTTGTGTTTAACATTTGCCAAAGTGCTATTAAGTCTCCGTGCATACACCATAACATACCACAACTATCGAATGGGCATTACCGGAAAGCCAAAAACCCAACTTGTAGCATTGCATAATGTTGTTGGGAAAACAGTAGGGAAAGTTTAGAGCCAGAGTTTGGTTGTGGCAAACACTTGTGGGTGGAAATATCTGTGAAATCACTGCAAATATTAAAGTTCCCAGCTCAAGCGCTGAGCTCATCTCCAGGAATGCCCATGGTGATCTTTATAGGATTGCATTCGCACCCAATTGCTAACTTAGGGAATGATTCCTTCTGCCCAACGGATGTTTACCCTGGACATTAAAAATATTAAACTTTCCATTGTTTGTGCGAAAATCCACAAGGTCTGATGAAAAGCTGTCGCTAGAGAGGGTAAATATTTGGCTATCAATGACAATACCGCACTGGGAAAACTTAACTCTACCTGGTATTTGTAATCTTTTTCTCCAGTGTACCAGTTAGTGGATTATAAAAGATGGAAATGCCCTTAGGCAGTTGCGAAATAGTTTGGAGATGTTTGCATGGTAAATAGGAAATACTGCCTGTGAGTTTTCCCGCCTAACAAATGCAATCATTGGTTTAAGTTGGGCTAGGTTAGGTTATTTATTCAAAAATCAAATGGAAAATCTAATGATCGTATTCACATATAGATAGTTCTCAGATTTCCTCACGTTGGCCTGATCCAATTAAATGCGACGGCGTCTCGTAAGATTCAACTTTTTTATTGGCATTATCATTATTTTTATGACTAATAATTGCGCTCATATTGTCTATAATTAAAATACTAAAAACGTCTCAATTAAATTGTTATTAACAAAAGAGCAAAGCGGCAGGCAGCAGACCAATCAAATAGCAAAAAACGACAGCTAAAACTATTGTATCTGAGTATCTGTGTATCTCTGTATCTCTGTATCTGTAGAGACCTGATGCTGAAAGTAAAACTTCTCGCCTGGTACTTAGAATCGAGTCAAGTGTAATTTCCATTAACTATGTTTGTTATGGTCGCCGTGTCCGTCTGGCCTCTTAATTGGGCGCTAACGTGTTTCAGATACATTTGTATCTCCAAATAGCAAATAGCCGACAGCAATTAAAGCAATCCTCGCCTTGAACTGCGTATCATGACATTTAGAACTTGACTGCTCTAAGCACTTGTCTAGTTCACCCAAATGGTTAGCTCTGAATTACTCGTCTTTGATTTTCTTTCTTTCTTTAGTTCGGGTATTTATCTTGATCATCTTCTAAAGATAGTCTTTGATTTTGGCCTTTTGTTAACATGAGACAGGTGCCGAGGACTGCTGGGCAATTGAATTACAATACTAATTAGCATAATCATCTTTCTGCCAGTGAAATGCTTAGTGCAAGTCACGGTGACTGGAGCAGTGACTAAAAGCGTGTGAAAGCAGTGATTAAAAATCCCCAAACGAAGTTTTTATTAGCACTTCACTGAATGGGATCTATTAAGCCGATAATTCAGACTGTCAGCATGACTGGATAAAAATTAAGCTTAGCCTAACCTACCCCAAAAAGTAGGATATCTTTTCAGAGGATTTTTCCAAAATAGCTATTTTAATTTCCAGCATTCTAGTAAGAGAAATGAATATCAATTTCTTGGTAACATCTTCTCGTTCTTTACTTTTAAAAGATACAATTTAACATAGAAATCACTTTAAAGAAAACACTCCTGAAAACTTCGTTTTAATCAACTAAAAACATGCGAGTTTTGGCTTATCTTTTCCAGTTTTTCGATTTCTAAAGTATCTGCACTCAATCCCCCTCTCTTTTTTTGACAATACTTATCAATAACAGGCGACTTCTGTCGATGTAAATCTCAAGTGGCATTTTCTTCTACCCACCGATATGCATATAGAACGGCTAGAATTTCCGGTTAGATCGCAGTCATTGCAGACCTAGTGATTAGTTCAATAAGGTAGCTGAATAATTGCAAGAAATTAAGTACAAATCGCACCTGTAGTTGAAGTTGTTTTTCTTGTCGAGGGGTTACCAAGTGCTCATCGCCCTTGATGGGTTGAGATCAAAGTAGTTACTACTTTTATATTAGTAATAAAGGTATCAGTGATTCTAATGATTTGGTTTTCAAATTGTTCGAATGACAAATTGATCATTAACCCAACCAGTCGTGTGAAAAAAAACTAAACCTAGGAACAAATTTGAGTTTGGCTGAGTGATTTTCGGTTGTTTCTATCTTTAGCTTGATAATCACATCACCGAAGTTGAAATAAACAAAAACATATATATATTTTATGTTTTTAATCGCATATTAAGGCACGCAATATAATCGCACATTTTTGTTCTAAACATAGAACAAAGCCAATTGCAATGATCGAAGAACGGAACACCCTTGACTGATTTTAGGTTAAGTTTTCACCCCTTTTGGTTGAAGAAAACTTATCACCAAGTTAATCCTATTAAAAGTTTCATATTAAACTACCCCTTTCTGGTGCATGTTAACAAGTCATAGCAATCCTTAATGGCTTATTCCATTTGCCTTTTAGCTGTTTGTGACTTTCTCCGTTTCTTGGCTTTGGATGGAATCTTATCGCCTTAGATGCACACGGCCAGAGAATCATAATCGCTGATAAGCATTGCAATAAAGTTGTTTTTTATGATACTGCTATATATATGTGTGTGATAATGGTCTCATGGGTGCCACGATAAATCCTCTACCCCCAATGAAAGGTTTGCACATGATGGTCTTTACTTATCTGATGCCAGATATAGCCAGAGATAATGCTCATATCGGAGTATGGGGCAACGAATTACAGTGCAATTGCTTGTTTAGCCCCCACAAATCGCAAATCGATGGGCACATGATGAGGAGAGATCTGGATGAATTTCATCGCCCGATTTGGCTGTGGATCGTTGGCGATGTTGTCATGAACGCAATTAAGTGTATCTTATCAGAGGCATTCAACTCTGGGAACGAAACACATTGGAGAAAGAGAATGTTTTCAGACTAACAGATACCTCCTAAAAGTTTTTTTTTTAACTTTATAATATAGATTAAGTAATAAGAGATATTTCAGCATTTTTTAAGTGCATTCTCTCTTAACTCTGTGAACGAAACGCATTGCAGGGAGATGGATAGTCCAGACTAACTGATACCCACTAAAAGCTATTTTTGCACCTATGGAATACAGATATAGTGATAAGGGATATTCCTTGAATCCTTCAAGTGCATCTTAATAGAGTCCTTCAACTCTGGGATCAAAGCATGTTGCAGGGGGATGACCTGTCCAGAATAACAGATACTCACTAATAGTCATCTTAAAACTATTTAACATAGAGAATATTTGGCAATGATTCCTTTCAGTGCCTTTAAACTCAGGAAACAAAGCGCACTGCAGAAGAGTACCCTCGTCCAGACTAACTGATACCCATTACCCATTAAAGTTTAGCGAACTATTTCGATATTTTATTTGTTCAGAGTACTTTCATTTCAATTTCAACCTTTGTAAACTTCCAAAGGTTTTCCATTAAATATCATCTTATCATGTTTTTAAGTTTTGCAGAAGAGCTTCTCAGCATGACTCGATGAATATTAAGATTAAGGGAATTTCCACAGATTCAAATTCAAATATAGGAGTGTTATCTATTAGTGTAGATAATCAGCTAAAACTGCGCATTTTAAATAAACAACCCCCAAAACATTTACCCCCATTGGTTTGAGATTACGTTTAATGGCATAAATCTGATTAATCTTTAAAGTTAATCAATTGAAGCTAAAAAAGAAGTGTATGGGAACCTAAAAACTATAGATTATTTTCGGCAATTTGATTTTTGATTGATTTATTTGAGTTTGGTATTAGTTTTCATATTTTAAAACTTAGAACAAGATTGATTAATGAGTGTCTTCTCACTTATTTCTGACATTTGAAAACAGAATAAATAATCTCCTGACACCTAGTTAAGAACTTAATTGCTACTTAAATTTAAAAGCTTATTTGAAGCTTTAAAGTGATTGATTTAGACGTCGAGTGAAATTATAGATTATAGTTTTAAATAGTTTTTATTTAGAATTCTCATATTTAATGTCTTTATAGCAAGATCTTTCGAGAATACTGCAAACCAATAAATAAAATCTAACTTACATTTTTTACATTTATTTTACATTTATTTTGAGGAACCTTCTTCTTTCTTATTAAAAGGTTACCCATCAAGTGATATCCCTTTTTAGTACTTCAAAATTGAGAAAGTGAAGTAAATGATAGTACTAAGTATCCTCATATTCGTAACCCAGAATAGTTTTAAGTCCCCTCTACGGACTCCCTACTCACCCATAATATGGAGAAGATTTTCTTCGAGAAGAAATGCATCGTCGTAGCTGGAATTCGTCAGATTCTCCGTTTTCATATTCAGCAAACTGGGCAGCATTGAGGCATACATTTAGATTGCTTTAATCTCTCCTGATAGTTGACGTGTTAAAATAATACAAATATATAAACGTATATATATATAAAACCGATCCGGTTGGTAGCAATGCTTTTCACAGAGTTTAGGAGACCGCGTCCCTAGTTCCTGATACGTAATATTGAAGATCGCCGGGTAAATATTTGAAAATCCTTCACACTCTTTGGCAAATTGAGTTTTTCACAAACGGTTGCTGCTTTTCTCGCTGCTGTTGCCGTTGTTGTTGTTGTTGTTGTTGTTGTTGGTTAACATTTTTTTTTGTACAATTCTCTCGCCCTTTTTTTGTGTTGTTTTTAAAGCCAGCTAAGGTGAGGGGCCAGAGACACACTTAAGTAAAGTTAAATATTTGCACAAATTAAAGCCGAAAACCGAAAACCGAAAATAGCTGAAGCGATGAAAGTTAAGGAGCGAGGGAAAACAGCGCACTGCCGCTAAGAATAAAGCCGAAGCGAACTGAACCGTCGGCAATTGGTTCGATACGATATATATATCTTATTAACATACGAAACGCATAAATAAATAAAGGTGATTTTTGGGCGGTAAGTTGAATCGATACTAAATATCACAGTCCTTTGGCGAATCCTTTTTTGTTTTTTGCAATATGCGTTTTCGGGTCAAAATAAAGGGTTTCTTTTGTTAAAAGCCGGTTAAATTTTAATTTCGATTTTGGGTAAAAAAGGGTTTGTGAGCCTGCGGCGCCTCTCGGCTGTCTGTATTATTACCGCCTAGTGCAAAACACTGACTAAACCTCAAATAATGTTCTCAACACGTACTAACTGTCTTAATATTATTTGTTGTAGATATAGAAGCCGACGGCCCCGACAGCCCGACAGTACCAACGACGACGACGAAGCGACAACGAAAGCTTTGGGGATCGCTCGGCTGGCTAACTCGAAGCTGACCGAGAGCCCAACCAACGATCGTACAAAAAAAAAAAACTTTAATAAATATTATTACTATACTGGGCTATTCTGACTGTTGTTGCTGGCACTGTGATTAATATTATTGCAGGCAGCCGTAGTTGTTGCCATCGTCTTGGCAGAAATTGTTAACAATTCGGATCGGAACGTACGAATCGGCTTGGATCGGCTTCGCGGATCGCGTTCGATCGCCTCGAATCGGGGGCATGCGCAGACGGATTTTAGTCTTATCTAGACTAGATTAAGCGGATTTCCAAGCACACACATTGGCTGCCTCTATATAATTCAAATTGTTTAATGGCACATATAATAAAACCATATCTCTGCTTGCAGCTAGCTTTGTGTGTGTGTTTTTGAGCTTTCATTAAGTAAATAGTTTTTATTGCTTATTTTTCTCACAGTTTCGAAGATTAACAAAAGTTGGGCACTCCCAAAAATAAAAGTTCCTATTGGAGGAGATGGTAAGGTGGTAAGGTTGGTAAGGAAATTCGGATTTTTGACAATGAAACTTTTAAATCATTGCACTAAAAGTTGGTTTTTGATAAGTTTAAAAGGGTTTTTCCATCAATTTTTAAGGTTTAGTAATAAATGTTGTTCTTAAGATATCGAAAAAAGGTAACATAAAACATTACGTGTCCTTAACTTAGCCACTATTTAAGGCCCTTAAAAACCTGTTGCATAACAAAAATGCGTTTGCTTGGCATTTGCATGATGAAACAATGAATAAAATATATTAAGATAATTAGTATTTATTTTCTCTATTCAAGCAGAATCACATTTATCTTTTTTATGGAATTTAACACTTTCTTAAGTTAAATTAAATAAAAAATCTTTATGTATAAAATTCTCTAATATTTTTAATAGTTTTTTGGAAATTTAAGTGCTTACAAAAGTTAGCTTTCTGAAACTAACTAATAATCCAATTTAGCTTAAAATATTTATTAAAATTGCTCAAAATTTTTCTCACATTTCCATTAAAGAGAAAAAAACTAGTAAGTTATGGTCAAGAGTTTCCCATTTAATAACAACTTTTCACTCACTTTAATCTAAAATCTGATAAGAAGGTAGTCTTTGAATTCTCTTAAATTTGGTTCAACAGCTCAAGAGCTTTCTATTGCTAGGTAGAATGTGTTTCTCTATTGTTCTATTTGTAGATCACTTCACTTTCAGCTTGGCAAACAGGCAGTCTGGTATCTCGTAGTGGCTTATCAAACCCGGAGCTGCAGCCTCGACGCCTCAGACAGTAAGGAAGAGAAAGAGATAGAGAGGGAGAAAAATATATATAAAATATATATATATAAGACATTATAATAGGTCGTTGTTTCTGTTGTGATTTATGTATGCACTCTTGACTGATTCGATTAGTAAGCGCCTTAAGCTAAGCCGTTATCAGTGATATTCTGAAAAACAGTCGGAAAATTCCAAGTTTCCACAGACACTAGCTGAGCCATGGAAAACCCACAATGACAGTTAGCTCTTCAAATGATTTGTGTTGGTTTTTCGGTGTCGTTCTTCAGCGCCACTGATTGATACTTCTGATTCAATTGAATACAATTTGCTGTCATTCAACACCATCGCATGCACAATCGCAGTCAGCTGGTCGTCGTCGCCAGCCGCCGTACTTTATACGGCGGAATTTCTGTGACGAAACGGAGCTCCACGCCAGCCCCAGTTGCCCACTCATGGCGTTGCACTTTGCCTCATTCCATTCTATACCATTTCGTTTGGCGTCATCATCGGACATCAGCAACATTGGATTTGCGGAAACCTGATATCATTATGATCGCGACGATTTTGGTAGCAACAAAGGGAATGAACTGGCTAATTGCTTTACGCAGCGAATTTTTGATTAAATGTGAATGTTTGTGATACATAGATCAGGTTTTAAGAGACTATTTAAGATTATTTTGAAAACTTGTGTTTAGTAATCCTTGGATATTAATATCAAACCTACTAGCTTGAACTTCCTGGAAGTCTCTTTGGGACTCTACCCGATATATGGTTATCTTGGACTAAAACTATCCTAATTCACATTTTTGATAAAGCTAAACATATTTAAAAGCCCGATTTAACTTAACTAACAATGAAATAAAACAATTTTAAGTCACAACAAACTACTTTTTTCCTAGTTCATCATTTTTAGGATAGATGATCTGAGTTTATTATGACTTCCTTTCTGTATATATAAATCTTATTCTCACCAAAAGACCGATACCGTGGCCTCACTCCGACTTTGACGCAAAACATCATCTGGATGATCCCTCGAAATGGGGCTGGGAGATTGCATTAAGAGCAATTACAAAATATGTTTACGAAGCACCCATTTGTAATCTCCGTGGGAGTGACTGACTGTATGCAAGCCGAGCGAGTGATCAGGACATGACGCATATGTTTTCCACTGCAGAGACCAACTATTCGATCGAATGAATCACACAATCACACATGCAACAAAAGTTTGTCTCCACAAACAATCGGGAAACCGAATCCGAAGCCACCAACTCCGGCAGTTGCTATCCGAGAGATACATTTCCTGGGGTGTGGTGGTGATGAAAATAATGTACAATGTAGTAGCTAGCGTAAGGGAAAAACAGCAGTAAGAGTGGAAAACAACTTGGAAAGAGAGATAGAACTCAAAATAAAATGCATGTCATGTTCGAGCTGATGCCTGTCGCTTTTCCCGGCCGCCACATGTGGCGACCCTTGTTGGTTGGTTTTTTTTTATTTTATTTTTTTGCAATTTCCAAGGAATTATGAAAATTAGCCAAGCCAAGCCAAGCCAGGCTGGTATTCCCTCTTTTCACTTGCTCAAACTTCTGGTGCTTCGTTAAGTGAATTTTGTGCGAAACTTATTATTTTATTTGCATACATTTTTATAGAGAGACAACACACCGAAGAACCGAGCTCATGGCCTCCGTATCCATGGGATACACATGTGATTTGCATGTGCGGTTCGTCATCGGCTTCATGATCATGATCACTCGTTGTCGGCTGACTGCCACATCCATATATATTACATATATGAATGCAATGATGACGATGGCAATAATGACGATTATGGTATTCATAATGTTTGACTGCAATTTACTATTTACACTTCATTTAGCGGCGACAACTTTAAGTGAAATGTGTCCACATTGCCTGAGTGCTTTGCTCGCTTTCCTGTATCTCTCTCTATCTGTGTGAGATGCTCGCCCCAAGCAATTCTCCTGCGTGAAACCATAAGATATAATAAGCATCGCAATTGAATAAAGCAGCCCGCAGCTCTAGCTAATTGGAGAATTAGCTCAAGTGTGAGGATAGCCCCGGCCAAGTGGATTGTGTAAGGAGCGAATCTCGGGAATGGGTTCAGTGACGACTACTAAAGCTAAGTACTAGACTTAAAAGGCTTTTCCCTTAGCTCTATATGAAGGAAAATAAGTTTAGCATTTACAAACTGCATGGGTAAACAGTTCTTGTAATATGGAAAGACATGGTGATTTGGTAATTCTGCAAAGGCAATTATTTAAATTTATAAAAAATATGCAAGGTTGCAAAAAGATTTTCTTATGCTGAGCACCAACGTAAACAATTTAAACATTTTACTATGGTAAAAATATGGTGGAGGCTTGAAATGACATTCTTTATCTAGTAATATAAACTAAAAAAAAAAGGTATATTTATTAAAATATTTGCCTGTAATTTATATACATATATGAGTATTGGATAATCATCTTAAGAAACCCTCTTCTTAGCAATAGTTTTGCATTGACCGCCATCAAACAGAAAATAAACAATATGAATGAAATTTACTTATCTTCCAGTTATGTACTAACAGCAGCGGTCAATGCAATAGTACTTTAATTTCTTAATGAGTTTATTAAGAGTTTAATTAAAAAGTTTAAAAATAAGCTCAGTTTTAAAACATATTGTATGTATAACAAACAGTCACATTAACTTATCTACATACACTTAGAGCTGTAAACTCAATATATTTCTCTCCCTTACCCATGCATAAAGATCATTCTAACGAACACTATGTGTGTCCTGTTCGCACCACCAGCAGATGTCACCAATACATATAGCAATTAGGATAGGATAGAAAAGGATAAAGGAATAAAGAATACTTCGCTTTTGACCACAGAAGAGAGCAGCAGTTTCTCTCTCTTAAGACGCCTACAATATTAATATAGTTATAAATTTTAGTTCCTTTAGCTAAATGTTTAACCTTTTCAAAACTTCAACTTTTCATCTCCACCTCCAAGCATAAATTGTTCATAAAATGATTTACCCTAATAAGCTAAAAAGTTTTTAAAAATGTTTTCTTTATTTTAAAATAATATTTCAAGAAAGTACGTAAAACCAGTTATGTAGCTAAAGATTTCCTTAATTCTATCCATACACCTCACTATTATTTTGACAGCAACTGTACCGAACTATATCTGCCTGATTATTGCGAAACGTTTATAGACCTCAAGCAAAGTGACATATTTGTTTACTTTATATCAGAAGTGACGCAAGGCACTTCTTAGGCACTTATCTACCATGGAAATTAATGAATGTCTGTAGCGGATATCCATGAAAATAGGCATGAAGAAAAGATAGATTTTAGTGGGTTATTTCGTTGGCCAGTCTACCAAACCATCTAAGATAGCGGAAAACAGCTCTTTTTAATTATACCGCTTGACCCAAAAAGAAAAACGAATCCCGAAGAAAATAATACAAAAAAAAGGCCTCAATGAATCGAAGAACGACGGAGATTTGCGAAAGACGAGCCGTCGCCTCGGCGAATGCAAATCAATGGAGTTCGCGTCTGGGCGATAACCCCCATATCATATCAGCAGGGTGGGAGAGCCGTCCCTCGGTTTATATAGTATATACTATATATATATAGTAAATAGCAGGCCCCTGAACCTCTCCCATGCATAATACCGCTGAATTACAGGAGGCATAAGTAGCTACGAATTTGCCTTCAGCTGCGAGCAAACTAAAACAATAAAAATAAAGTTAAAGGTAAATGGACATCGACTAAGGTGACACCAGCCCCATTCAAAGCCTGAGCTAAAGCTATAGACGACAGTCAGGCCGATCGTCTCTATAAATATTCAACAAGTATGAGACTTGGTTGGGTTGTAAGCTATATATATATATGTATATGTATATACCTATATATAAGACAGAGTATTTAGTCGCATCGTGTGTTTGCCATTGCGCATATTTAACCCTTTGGGGTTAAGTTAAACATTACGATTACGTTTCACATCGCTTAAATTTGTGCGCGTTTCCTTTGTTTTTCCCAAGCCCAACTCGCTGGCATTCCCTCTCTCTCTCGCTTTTTTTTCCAATTGTAACTTTAATACCTTCGTTACCGGTTGCAGCAGTCACAGTTCTAGCAAATTTTCCTAATCAATAAACAAATTATAAACATTTATAATGATGACAGGCTTATCGGTAGGAAAGCGCTCTTATCAAGGCCATGGCGCTCTATTGATAATACCATCGCCTGCCTTTTGCGATTCGGACATGATTTTCCACACGTGGCACGTGTTCAGGATTGCCTTCGCATTGGTCTGAATAGAAAGGTTTTACTTTCTTAAGTCGTAAATATAATCGCAATGCTAACCCACTTATCAGAAACTGTTAAGAAGATGATTATTTATGATGTTATGGCTTCTGCCAATCATTACTTTTAGGAAGAATGTTCTTTCAATCTTTCAACCTGTCAAGGAAGTTTTATTATAATATCTGGAGAAGTTATTATCTCTGTCGATGCGGAAATCAGGCTAAAAAACATCGAAAACTTTTTAAATACTAAGCTTATACATTTTCATAATGGAGATTCCAGAAAATAGTAACTCCCATCCTCTTAAAGATATTAAAACACTTCTACTTACCAACATCTTGGAACTCCTGCTCCATTTCCTCCACCTTATTGACCTTCATCAGCTGCTGGCCATCCGTAACGCTCAGATCCTGCGGATGTTTCATATTATAAAGTTACTTTGTATTTACAGGTTTCCTCGAACAGATCCAATCACATAGTCATAAAGTAATGTCCGGCAACTGTAAGTGGAAAAGGCAATCAATAAGCTGTCGTATATCAATCTAATGATGGCTAAAACCCACAGAAACGCATGCCCAACACATTTAATTTTTAATGATGGCCCGCTAATCGAACTGAAGTATCGCCTGTAAATCTAGAAACTATATATAGTTGGGTGCTAGGTACACAATGTAGGTGTCAGCTCGACAGTCGAGTGCCCGACAACTAAACGCTTCACATTACACGGCCCCCCATCGGATATTTTTAGTAAGGGAGGAGTCATTTTTTACGATCCCATATCAGCCATATACCAGACACACCTGCTTATAAAGCAAATCTATATTATATACTCTTACACACCCGATCAAATATGAAAACTCTCTCAAAAACAAAAGAACAAACACAAAAACCCAAAAAAATACCCGAAATCATAATCTTCAATGCTTTATTGACTGGCCCAGGGGCAGATAAAAAACACTCATAGCGGCAAAAAAAAGAATTCACTGACTGCCGATAACGCTGAAACAGAATTTCTGATTATCAGACATTTATTGTTTCTTCTGGCCATTTGCCATTATGTATGAATTTGTTGTTCTCGGCCGACTTTTTGCGATTTTCACTCGAGTGCCAGAACAGCCGATAAGCCCCATGGGCTCTATGGGCTCTATCGACCTCCTGCTTTCCCCTCGTATCTCCCTTTCTCCCTAGAATTTCTCTGTTTCTTATCACTCTTATCGTGCTGCTACTGACGCAGACCCCCTCGTCTGCATTGTCAATTTGTCACCTTTGAACCCTTAGCTGACTGTCGCGAGCCGCATTAAAAGACGCCAAAAAAAAAGAAACAAAAACGGAATGCTATGGCTGGCAGAGCTAAGTATGTATCTACATTTCCGGGAAATAGGCGATAAACTTAGATACCTTAGAGAGCCTTGAGACTCCGAAATAATATAGTAATCTAAGTCTTAGTAATTAGGTAAAATAAATCTAGGGGAAGTAAGTTCTTTCCTGTGTGATTTCATTTAAATTAATATTGTTACTAAAGTATAAATAAGTTATTATTATTACTAGAACATAATTGACTATTTCATAAATGGGAATTTTTATAACATTTTCGTGATTATTTTAATAGGTTTTCCATTTTGAAAGCTTAAAGAAACATCAGAAACTTCAGCAATATCTTCTTTTTAGCCATAAATAAAGTTAATCTAATAATATACTTGTCATCTCTTCAAACTGTCTAGTTTATTTGTATCTTTAACACCTTCCCAAGTCTTCCTAGAATTAGACTTCATTCTTAGTTCACACATTTGTCGATCAGCATCAGTCACAACATCCTCGTTTGCTGTTCAAATCAAATTTGTGTGAAATATTTCTTTGAGTTACTGCTTTTGGTTTGTATTATTTGCAAAATTTCAAAATGTGTTCACGCGATGCGGCCACCAATCAATTGATCGACTATAAGAATAACGATTCCGAGGTGCAAAAGGAGATCACCACGTCCTTTGGCACTCCGGTGGGCGTTAAGGATGCCATACAAACGGTGGGACCAAGAGGCCCGGCTTTACTTCAAGACTTTCAGTTCCTTGACGAAATACAGCTCTTCGATTCGGAACGGATTCCCGAAAGGGTTGCCTACGCCAAGGGAGCTGGGGCCTTTGGCTATTTCGAGTGCACCCATGACATTTCCAAATTCTGTGCAGCCTCAATTTTCGACAGGGTCAAGAAACGTACTGCCATTGCCATGAGATTTTCGGTGGCCTGTGGGGAGGAGGGCTCAGCGGACACAGTTCGAGAAAATCGCGGATTTTCTGTAAAGTTCTATACCGATGATGGTATCTGGGACATTGTGGGTTGCAATATGCCCGTGTATTATGTTCGTGATCCCTCGTTGTTCCCCAGCCTGATCCATGCCCAGAAGCGTAACCCGCAAACCCATCTCCGGGATGCTGATATGTTCTGGGATTTCATGACCCTGCGTCCAGAGACATTGCATGCTCTGCTTATGTACTTCAGCGACAGGGGAACCCCCGATGGTTACCGCCACATGCACGGCTTCGGAGTGCACACCTATCGTATGATCAACGCAAGTCGGGAGACCCAGTATGTCAAATTCCACTTCAAGACGGATCAGGGCATCAAGAACCTAGATGCTCGACGATGTGAAGAGTTGATGTCCCACGATCCAGACTATGCCATCAGGGATCTATATAACTCGATCAAGAAAGGCAACTATCCCAGCTGGTCCATGTACATTCAGGTAGGAATTTATATGAATATTAGTTTCTTTCTTTAAATGATAATCAACCGATTATTTGGGGTAGTTATCTTAAAAAACATGAACTTAAAAGATATTTTTAAAAACCCACAGGTAATGCTCAACGAGGAGGCCAAAAAGTGCCGTTTCAACCCGTTCGATGCGACTAAGGTGTGGCCCCAGAAGGATTTCCCCCTGATACCAGTTGGCAAAATTGTCCTCGATCGAAATCCCACCAACTATTTCACGGAGGTAGAGCAGCTGGCCTTCAGTCCAGCCCATATGGTTCCCGGCATAGAACCATCGCCGGACAAGATGCTCCAGGGACGACTATTCGCCTATGGCGATTCGCAGCGCCATCGTTTGGGCGTCAACTACATGCAGATACCGGTTAATTGTCCTTATAGGGTTAATGTGAGGAACTACCAGCGTGATGGTCCTATGACGGTGACTGACAATCAGAACGGAGCCCCCAACTACTTCCCCAACTCTTTCTGTGGTCCCAAGGAAAGTTCTCGGGCTTTGGGCCTGCAAACCTGCTGTCCTTTGACCGGGGATGTCTATCGTTATATGAGCGGCGATACTGAGGACAATTTCAGTCAGGTCACCGACTTTTGGACCTATACTCTGGATAATTGCGGCAGGAAGCGACTAATCCGCAATTTATCCGAACATCTAACCGAAGCCAGCCAGTTCCTTCAGGAAAGGGCTGTAAAACTGTTCACCATGGTGCATTCTGATTTTGGTCGTCTAATGACTGAGGCCCTGAACACAGCCAGAATATCAAAATTTTAGAATTTGTCAAGATACTCTCCGGGATGTGGCGATGTTTTTGAAAATTATTGTGATGTAAATCATTTTTAGGATAACAGATGTCTGTTTTACTAAAAATGTGTCATGGCCAACGTGAAAGAATAGTAAATTCTAATTAACTTGTTTTTTGTTTTTAGTGTTTGTGTAAATTATAAAAAACAGGTTGTAAATTTCCATAAAGCTCTTATACTCAAACCATGTTAGGAAATCTTTCGAGTTTAATAGTCTCATTAACTTTAATAGGTTTATGTGGGGTTTACATTTTTTAAATACATTTTTCTAAACTTGGTGACCTTAAATATGAGAATATAAAGTGTTTACTTTTCAAAGGGAATCCATTAACTTGATTCTTGGATAAAAATGAAAATAAAATGAAAAAAAATTCAAAAAGGTTTTTACCTAAAACTTTCCCTGCATACTTTTAGGAGTTGACCTTGGCTACTGCAAAAATGATCATCGCTAATCTGGTTACCCAACTGATCTGTTGGCTGTGATTATCCAACCCGGATGATAATGCCCTTTCGGAGACCTCTCCTCATCGCCACCCATCGAGATCTGTCATTAGCTAGCCGCTCTGTTTACATGCTGCACACGTGCCCGGGCGTTTCTGTACTTGATTGAATTCACCCAAGTACAGTCCTTCATATTACTATCACGACTTATCACTAATTTCGTATTTATATTTCTTATTCATGTAAGAATAAATTAAATTATTAAATATTTTGATGATAAAATGTGAGATATTAATGATTCTTTCAACGAAGGGGTTGTGCTTTTAAGAATAGTTTTCTATAGTTATACCATTTTGTGACGTACTGTACCGAGCACCCTTGATATAAAACCGAAAAGCTTGTCCAACTCAAATGTTTAGCAAATAGTTAGAGGCGAATGTAGTGAATTGTTGGCAACTGGTTAAGCGACTTGAAGGCAATAACTAAGAACACAATAAACTTACTTAAAGCTCAATGGCCAGACGATGTTCTAACTATCTTAGTTGTTTTTGCAGTTGTAGTTGTTGTAGCTGGCTCAACTGCAGGGCTTTTATCAGCGAATGCTGTTTTTGTTGTCGTTGTTCTTTTTCGAGTTATTATTGTTGAGTTGACCGCATGAATGAAAGCGAATAGGAAAAAAAGGCAGACACACACTTGTTGATTTCTTTATGCGATTTCGTAGCTCGTTATAATTAACGTTTCTCCGCTTTTTTCCTTCTGTTATATGTGTATTTGTTGTTTTATTTTTGTTTTCTTTTTGGCACTACGACACGCTTCTCCGTTTTTTTTTGGCGGATTTTGTTTGGCTTTTGATTTTTTATTATTATTGCACTTGTTGCCGCCGCTGTGAAATTCATCTCGGGCGTATCTCTTTTTTCGTTATATTTTTAATGAGTGACTTTTTTCTTGCTGGCCAGTTGTATAACTGGCACACTGCATATTCATTTATATCAATCAAAGCGAAATATTTAGCTTATAAACATTGTCTTTGTTTTTGCCTTTTGCAGTTGTTTCTTCCAACGTCACTGGAATTCAACTACGGCTTCTGTGTTCCGTTACAAAAGCGCTCTTGGCTGCTCTCACTTATCACTCTCCCTCTCTCTGTGCATGTCTCGCCGCCCACTCTCCCACTCTCTATCAGCCTGGTCTGTCTCTCACACACACACTAGAACGTAGCTGTTACGTAGTTGTTTTTGCCAAACAAAAATTCCGTTTACTTTATAAGTTTAATGTGCATTAATTGCATAAATGTAGCGTTTCTTGAAGGGGGTCGGGGTGGTGGAATAAGTGCTCGACTTGCAAACTGCAGTTGATTGAACCCGCTCTCTCTCTTTCGCACACACTCACTCACAAGCTCGCACACCCACGTTTCAATTGCAGAAGAGAAGAGAACCCGGCGCACCGATTGACGATTGGCGACTGAAATCAAAGTCGCCAAAATCGAACCAAAGAGGGGGTAAAAGAAAATAAATACAACAAATACATAACGAAAACAACAACGCACGTACCGTTGCGAAAAGTGGAAAACGCGTGTGCAAAACAAGACGCGATAATATCACATTTTGTTGCTAATATTCTGTTTGACAGAGTTTTAAACGGAGCCACGCGAAAATAGCAACAAAGCAATTTGCAGAGAGTGAAAGTGTGGGTGTGTGAGTGTGATGTGTGGTTGTGTGACTTCCATCACGTCAGTTTTTAGCGATCGCCAAGGGGAGCTGCCAGACTTGCGGAAAATGCGACGGTCCGGTGGCACTGCCTACAGATGGGCAAGCTTTTTTGACATTTCGTAAAGCTTTTTAATGGCGCGAATTTTAATTTCGTTGTTAAGATAAGAGCTTTGCGAAATTCATTTAAAAAATCACATTAGTTAAATTTGAAAGTTAAATAAACGGTTTATCTTAAAGTGATTATATAAATCAAAATATTAATCGTTATTTGTATCGCATTTTGCCTATGCCATAACTTTTCTTGACAGCTTTTAAGTTTTTCTCGGATTTCTTCAAAAAAAAAAAAAATGAATTTAAATTTTACAAAAACTTTTACCCAGTTTATGTTAGAAAAATTGTTTTATTGAGATATTTTTTGCCAGCTAACTGGTACAGTGGGTCACTATGGGTATACATATACATAATGGGGGCTTTTACATAGTTAATTATTATATTATATTTGAAGGCTCACTAAGATTAAAAAATATATATATTTAGTTTAGTTGGTTTCGCAATTTATGCACTTAGAATTGTACATTTTTGAATATTTACAGTTAATTTAGCACATGTACCATGTGAATGGGTGTTAAATAAATAATAAATTAGCATTAAGCAAATTGCATATAGCGATTATAGAGAGAGGGGAGCTGAAAGCATGACTTTCTCCATAAGGTTATGAAATGCGCTCTCTGGGCGACGACATTTTAGTGGTTTTAACACTCGTTTAATGTAGTTTACTGTATATAATATTACGTATAGGCTTTAACTAGGTAGAAGAGTGTTCTCCGAATACGATTAGACACCATTTAAGTTAGTTGGGGGGATTAAGAATAGAACGTAAATTGCACTAGGCCTTAGAATTAGACATAAGCTTAAATTGTCACGTGCTGGAACTTGAATACAGGTACGAATTAGCAGCGGTCGCGGTTGTTGTACGCCTGAACCTTGGCCACGGTGCACTCGAGGGCGGCCCGAATGTCGGTGAACACGGGAACACCCTGCCTTTTGGCCAGGTCAATTAGGTACGACCGTCCGCGGTTGTAGTCCTTGATGGCTGCTAGAGTAAGCTGAAAGGAAAATATATGGTTAACATAAAGGCAAATCAACGGTTTAATATGAAAGCTAAACATCTTAAGGTGGCTATAAACGATTTACAACCTTCCAAAAGAAGTGTCCCGGTAACTCACCTTCTCGCCACCCAGGACACAGTCTTCCGGCAGCATCTGCACCGCCAGCACCACGTTGTACATGAGTCCAATGCAGTGGGCGGCCAGGGTCATGGGAGCCAAGGACCGGGTCTCATTGGTGATGACGAAGAGTAGGACTCGGCTGGAGTCCAGGAGCGATGGGTTGTACAGACTCTGGCGAACGGCAACTGGTGGAAGGGACCAGCTCAGTGACTCTTCGGCAACTGTTAGCTCTTCTTGCTCCTCCAGCTGCAGCTGATTGCCTCGGCACTTTCTGCGAGTACGAACAAAGGATCTCTGCTGCTGCTGTTGCTCCTGAGGAGGAGCTGTTTGCTGCTGCTGAGTAGCACCAGCCGAATTCTGTTCTTGGTTCTGAATAATCTGCTGGATACTCTCATGCAGCGCCGGGCTATGGAAAGTCACGTTTTTGGACTGCAGATAGGGGGCGGCCAACTCCTGACGCCACTTGGTGCGAAGGACACAGCTACCGCCCAGATAGACATCCCGGAGATCCAAACCACCACCGCAGCAAAGGGCATCGCCGGCACTAGCTATGGAGCTGCTGCTGGAGAAGACCGAGTCGTTGGAATCACTTTCCTCCTCTTCGGCAGGCACAACAACAGATGATGATGCGGACACCGGATTTGGCTTTGTCTCTATGGTTTTGGTGGTGATTATTTCCGTTGTCTCAATGGACTCCACATTCAGCAGGATCTGAGGCCGTGGGCTCTTGCCCAAACTACTCGATGCCGTGGGCTGGGGTGAAGAAGTTCCACTGTCCCGACTGCGACTCAGTTGCTCAAAGAGACTCTGCCGCTCGAGGTCATGACCGATGCCACTGCTGCTATTGGACGGAACACTGGCATTACTTGACGTACGTGAAATATTCTTGCTGGCCGAGTAGTAGATATCCACATCGGGAGCTGGTGAATTAAAGATAATTAGCTTAACTAATTGATGAGTCTAAGGATTAGCACTTACCATTCGTGAAGTAAACCTGCGGTGGCGGGACATTGGTGCCCTTAATGGGCGAAATGCAGCCGCTCTCGTGGATCTCCTGCTGCAGAACGGACAGATACGCGGAGATCACACAGAACAGATCAAAGTCGATGAGCTCCTGGCTGGGCAGGATTGGCTGGCTGCAATTGCCATCCTCGACAGCGGCATCCGCATCCACATCCAAATCCAAGTCATCAACGACAGCCTTTGTGCTGTGCGTTTGGAGCAATTTCAGCGATTCGCGTTGGTTGATTATGATCTTAGTTAGATTGTCTAAATTAACTAAACTCTGAGCATAGCCTAGGAATAAGAGAGCACGTTTGCACTGTTCCACAGTGAGCAGGTCGCTTTGCGGGTTAACACGATCAAAGGCGCCGCGAACGGTACTGAAAAGGGTAAAACATACAGTTAGTTTAATGTATTAAGATTTAATTTCGGGCTAACTTACTCTAATATAGAAGATATTTTGGACGGTGGATCCCTGATGCCACTCAGGATATCCTTAGTGCGCTGCAGACCCAAGGGTATGTTATCCAAGACGGGCAGACCACGACGGGAGACCAGCTCCTTAAGTATCAATTGGTTGCGATTCAGGTCGAGGTATTCTCTGTAAAGTCAGATTATATCATATTTAGTTTATCTTACTAAAGTTGAGTTGGGGGAATGATTACTCACTGCTGAGAAATAGGCTCATTGAGGATCTTCTGATTTGGTTTGTAAGGATGCAAAACCAACACCAGCTGCTTGCAGTTTTGACCCGCTATGTGTGCCGCCTCGATGGCACCAGCAGATGCGCGTGTTTCCGAATCCATAACGAAGAATAATACACGGGCCTTTTCCTTAGCTCGATGCTCGAGCTCGATGAGATCGGGCGTCCAATCAGATACTTGCTGTTGGTCAAAGGCAATCATAAAATCAGTTGGGATCCTTATATAATCTTTCCTAAAGAACTACTCACAGGATTATAGAATGAAATGCCCAGCTCCTTGAGTGCTGGTATGGCCACATCAGCTCTCCAGGTCGTTGGATTGCAGGAACCGCCAAGGAACACCTCCACCGGCTCATTGCTGGCGTTCTTCTTCTTTTTGGTATCATCCACACTGCTAAAGGACTTGGTACTCCTCAGTTCGGTTCCATGGTTATCTGGCTTTTTGGTGCTGTAGGCAGGTGACGAGGTGGCGGCCGCTGGCGATTGCAGATGCTGCTGTTTGGCGGATGAGCTGGCAGCAGGAATCATCTAGTTCCGGGAGCATTAGACCCAAGGAGAGAGACTCACAGTACGGCGACTGATTCGTAATTGTTGAAGCTCTGCGGGAAAGGAAATAGAAAGGAATTGATTAATATCTAAATGAGTTTGAATCTATTTTCCTATAAGCTTACCTGAAACGTTTCAGATCCGCTGCGAGGACACAAAACTGGCCAAAGGTCAATCCATTTGCCTGGCTACTTCCACCCTTGCGTGCCACCTTCTTGGCAGTCTGCAGCATTTCGCTAACTATAAAAAATATAAATAAATTAGTTAGCTAAATGTAAGGTATTTTTTAATAGAGATTACTCACTCTGCTTTTGGCTAGGATGGAAGCTTAGCTCGTGGAAGAGTTCCTGCGTCCGCTCATCGGGCACCACATTGCATCTGGCCTTCGCTCGCCATGCATTCAGAACTTCTCTGCAAGAACAAAAGGAGGGAAATCATCAGTGGGGGAGCCATAAAAACTGTATCTTTGTTTGAGTTTTAAAAATAAACTGAACTGAGGTAATCGTTAATTCAAAGATTTATGACCTTATTACACAATTTATCGATTTATTGTGCTGAGGGGAAAATTCGGTGTATAGAACTCAAATAATTTATATGATGAAATGAAATAATAATTATTGAATCTATTTTTGTGATAAAGAAAGTCTCTATGAGTCATAATTGCTTATAGAAAACGAGTTAATTGATCACGATTTTAATCAATTTTAATGGCAAGCACAATGTGTTGTTAATCATAATGATTATATTAGCAGATTATGAGCTTAGGTTTAGACTTGATAAAACTGATTTGCGTTTTGCAAACCCCAAAAGCCAATATAGTTTTTCCATGAATAACTCACAAAATGCCCAAATAAATCAACTCGGGAAATTACTTCAACCACTTGGCTCCTTATATAGAGAGGGCTTACAGCAATGAACCCGCTGAAGGACGCAACAACCCAACAAATTCCGAGCTTTAGTTTTATATATAGCTTTCTATATATATTGTATAAATCAGAATCGTACACCAGTCACGTTTCTCGGGGCCGACACATGTTTTTAAAGCCACCAAATTGAGTCATGTAAGCGCGAAAATGGAAAACAAAGCCAAAATAATATTCAGATGAGAAAATATTACAAGATTTTTGTGGCTGCTTCGTCTGTGGCTCCTTCTGCGTTGTCTTCCGCATCTTGGCAAGGAAACGCCGACGACATCATCATTGTCAGCATCAGTAGCAGTGGCAACAACAAAATCATTGACAATTGCATCATTTGTTGTGTGCAATGGAAATTTAAATATCGCGTATACGTAGCGTATGCCAGAGCCACAATGGCAGAAAAACAGATTGGAACGGGGATGGCAGTCGAGTAGCTAAATGGGTAATATTTATCGTATATAGCCGGACGAAAATTTCTGCGACGCAGTTACTCGATTTCCATTTTATTTCGAAACTGTTTTCTTGTTTTCTTATTTATTCCATTTGGTTCGAGCTTGAAATGGAAAACGCAAATATAATTCATCCGCAATATCGCTTATTTTTCTTAATATATCTTTTGCGTTGTTGACAATTTGCACGGCAAACAACAACAACAAAGGGACAATTTTGTAATATATTGCGTTAAAATATTTGAATTAATATATTTACTGGGCTTTGTACGCGCTTGCGATTGAGAATCACGACTGAATTCAAATATTTCTATTGGCTCTGAGCTAAGAATTATTTCATTTGATTGCCGGCTTATCAATGATGGAGCTTAGAAATAGCCAGCTATTCTGTGAAATGACGTCAAGTCAAGTGACAAATAGAAGTCGGAAAAACAATTAAAAAGCAATTCTAGAATCCATAAAAAGAATAAGTGATGATATGGTTTAAAAACAGAAATCAAAATGCACTTAACTTTTTAAATTAATATTTTGTTTTAGACTATTAAACTTTTTAACTAAAAAAATAAATTTTAAGCAAAAATTCGTATTCATGAAAGTTTTTATTACTTTTTAAAAATTACTAATAGGGAAGTAATAAAAATCTAACAACGGCCCTTTATTCCGAAATCTGCCAACGCTTTTTCAAAAACAGCTGAAATCTCAGCCAAAAAACAAAAAACAAACCCTGAATGGGGAGCAACATTTTTGGTTTTATAGCTCAACAAACTTGTCTGCTAACTGTTTGGGCCGCTGCCCACTCAAACAACAAAGCATAAGCCATGCAACAAAGGGGCAAAAAAACTCTAACAACAAAGTGATACATGCTGAGCAAAGCCCAACACCAGCCGATTATGTCAGAGAAAGAGTGTTGTGATCAGAAGGGAAGGGAAAGGTGAGGCAAATACCAGAGGGTTGTGATGAGAAATTAAATAATAGAAATAAATTTATTATGGTAAATGGTAAATAAACTCTTACAGTATGTAATGATAGCTAAATCATAGCTGAATAAAGTAATGACTTGACTAAGAGATTATAAAGTTTATCTCAAGTTTTAGATGAATATCAAGTAAGTTAAGATAAAAAAGCTAGCATCAGTTAACATTTTAGTTAATTTATTTTGTAAAATGTTAGATTTTAACTTATAAGGCCATGGTAAAACTATTTAATCTGGAAAAATCACAGATTTTAAATTGAGAAATACTCAAAGTAAACATCCTTACAGATGAGTATCCCTTGTCTTACTTTAACATGTTCTGACTAACATATATTATATATATAAACATAGTTAATATCTTTTTAAAGAAACTGTAAACTATTTCTTTAAGTCCTAAGTATCTTTCAAATATATGCTCCCAATATCTGGCAACGCAGACTGGTTGGCTAAGAGGCAAACAAAAACCAATGACCAAGTGCAGGCGGCGGCGGTCAAACTTGTCTAGATGCCAATTACATGACTGCATCAACAGACGGCTAGGCACGCCCACAGCCTCACATCATTCACTAAATTTGGCCTGGCCTCTCTTTCTTTAAGTTGTATTTTGTTCTTAGTCTTCTATTTGGCCTTCTATTTTTGGCCAGCTTCTGCCTGCCTCTGTTTGCTGCCTCTTGCGTGTGGGTGAAGAAGTTGCGCCATATTTGTTACGATTTTTTCATTCGGTTTTTGGAATTTTTATGGCAAACAGACGCAGCGCAGCCGCAGAATTTATGCTTTGTTTACCACAAACACGGTAGAACCATGAGAGCTTCGATCTGTGGAGGGGAAGAGGAGCAACGGCCCCCAGTCGATGATCAAATTTGGCTGTTGAAACACTTCCGGGCAGAGGAGAGGTGGGGTAAGGGGTATTGCTCATTGCACACAAGGAAGTGCAGCATCAAAAAAATGAAACGATTTACAATTTTGGTCATGAACGTGGAAGTTGTTGTGTAGGACGAGTTTTAAATATTAAAATGTTAAACTTCCTGATCTTGTCAAAGCTTTTATTTTGGGTTTCGGATAAACAGGAAGTTCTCAACTTAGTTTCTGTGCTTAACTATATAAATTTGTAAGAACTAAAACTGATTTAAATAGTAAAAAAGTTAGTACTAATACTATTATTTAAGCTGCGACTGATGTATAGTTAAGCTTTCAAGTTTTACTTTTAATTTTAAAAATACCAAAAACCAACCATCCTTAATTCTAGTTTTTTACACACTTTCCTCTTTAAGAAATTAAATAAATAACACTAACAAATAATAATAAAGAAATTACAGCAATGGGAAAGTACACATTCTAATTAATTAAACACCTTTGAAATAAAAAAAACTTTCAAGATAAACAATAATTATCAAACCTATGTTAATTTTCTGCTGCGAAAAGTATACAAACACATTAATTTCCCACTTCGTTTATCTAAGCTTTAAAGGAAACATTTTTAGGCCAATAAAAACGGTTTAAGGCCAACAAATCTATGCAAAAAATTCTGAATTAAATAATATAATAAAAATATCTAAAATATTAAGCAACTTTAACCTACTAACAATCCTGGGTACCTTTCCATCGCCTGTTCCGAAGCTTCGACATGTCACGGATGATTCACAAGCCTTTTTCATGATGAAATTGAAGAACCAGATGGATTCTTAGAAGCCGACATGATGAGCTACTAAAACTGCGACGACATTTAGTGGTAAACAAGTTTTGCGTTCTCTTTTTTTTATGCTGACCGAAAACCGAATGGACTAACAAATAAACAATGGATTTTGAGTTAAGAGAAAATAAGTTAAGAAAAACATCTGCGTAAAGGAAAAAATATGTCGGAATTGCTATCAGAGGGAGAGAGCCAGCGGGCTACCGGAAATTCACTGTGACCCATTAAATGGTAACCAGATAAGGCCAAGTTAATAAGCCAAGGTCCTCGCGCTCTTTGTCTCTTTATCTCAACTTTACTTTTGGCCCTACGTGCTGGAGATAACGTTATAGCGTTTCTACATGAATCAAGCCAGACAGGGCAATCTATAGGCTGGCCTATCTCTCTATAACAAGACCAAATTGCTTATAATGAAATCCTAGTTGGCTCTCACTTAGTATTAGCCATTAGGCCATCAAATAGGAGATAAAAACGAAGTATTTCATGGGAATGATTCATCTGATAGTACGATTAATCATTGCTGATTGCAGTATTTATTTGCTTAGCTACTATCAGTTGGATGAATGAATGTTGCTGTGAATTGAATTTATCTGTTTTTATATGGAGTTTATGAATGACTTTTGATACGAGTTAAGTAAGTACGTACTAAGGGAGAAATGTGGTACTAATTTGCGAAGTATTGCCTATGACTATAACTTTCTTTCACTTTTTATCTTCTCATATAAGATAAACAAGTTCGCATCTATAAGATATTAATAAACCCAAAAAATGAATGAAAAACAAGTGTAGAATCATCCCTATAAATCCAACTTTATCCACTCAGCTTATCAGCTATTTCCGCTGTCTTTGCCAATGGATAAACCTCAACGACATATCTATGGATCAATGTATTAAGCAGATCAGCATTTCCGCAACTGATGAATGGACTTTTCCAAACAAATCGCATGCAACCATTTTGGCCCCGAGCCAAGCCGAATGACGTTGCGGTCAATGTACAATCTTACAGATACCCATTGAGAAATGCATTTGTGGAAATGATTTCATTGACCCACGCTCCGCCACGTCGAGTGCCTTATAAATGACTAATAAACAATTTCCGAATACAATTGAACAAAGTGACAAAATGTACATTGAACTCGCTAAGTGAGAATGGGAGAAGATTAAGTGCTGCTAGTTGCGACAAAAAGAAAAAAAAAAACACAATAATTAACATGCTATTTGCATTTGACAGTTTGTAATCTTGGCTAGGAAGAGCCGTTGTTGTTATGATGATTATGACTAAAACGGCTAAAAGCAAAGAGCCACCTATGAGTGACTCTGAACATATATTTGCATTTAACAGCTTGTAAATCAAGCGCAAAATATTTGCTCACAAGTTTATA